GAAAACAAGCCAATAGAATCATTAAAAGTCATGGAAGGCAGGCCACCAGAGGGGTAAAGGCCTAATGTCCTGTCTATATTAATTAGGCTGTGTAGAGTCAGTCTAAGGTGCAGCAAGGCAGGCCAGGGGTTCTCTTCCTTAACGTTACACAGGTGTATTGTAGATGTAAAGTATTTCCGTAGGGAAGAACCAGGACAAGGATGAAAGTAATCTCTGTGTATTCACCTAGCCAGGTCCCAGATCTTTTTGTGCTGTTTTGGTAAGCCTTATGGCTCCCAGATTGGCAGCCCCCCAAAACCTATATATGTGCCTTTTGGAGTGGTTGGGTTAAAAGCGGAAGCCAAATTTTGGTTGGACCTTGTGTGCAATTGACCAATAAAGTGATCTTAATCTTGATATTAAGGAGTTGGCACAGCACCAACAGATCTGGGACCAGGCTACCATTCACCTGCTTGCATGTCTGAAGTATGCCAGTTTGGAGGGGATCAACTGACTTGACATTGTATATACCCTCTCTGGTTTCATTGGTTGGTGGGATTAAAAGTTCTTCCAGATTATGCAACTGTTGTCCGGATTGTGATTAAGTAGAGCTGCCATTAATCCAAACCTGGCCAATGGCACCAAGGTCACCGTGCCTCCACCTGCTCTACGAAATCAAATCTATTTTATGAAGCCCTTTTTAGATCAGCAGTTGTCACAAAGCAGAATACAGATACCCAGCCTAAAACCCCAAAGAACAAGCAATGCAGATGCAGGAGCACAGTGGCTAGGAAAAACTCCCTAGAAAGCAGGAACCTAGGAAGAAACCTAGAGAGGAAGCAGGCTCAGAGGGGTGGCCAGGCCTACCTAAACTGACGCTTTAACCGACGGTCTCCAAGTGATGACAGCACAAATACAAGTGAAATGTTCAGATCAGGAAATCAGGAGTAACTATATCAACTGTGGGGTTGGAACAGTGCTGGTGGTAGGTGAGATAGAGGTGCAAAGGGTACACAACTGGACTCAATCGTCATCGTAACGTCCAACAAAAAAATCATTATATTACATCCTACTGTACAAACAGCTGAAAATAAATTGCATGTGTCTGCAATATCAGCACGTTAAGATCTCAGTCTAAACTGTCGTTTAACCACTATTTAATAAATCCAAACCATGAGAAGAACATAGAAACACAGAACCTGTATCAAAATGTGAGGAATTACTTTGGAGAACACTCCCAATTATCTGGAATTGTTTGATAAATAACATCTAAAGCAGATTATCATATAAACCCAGAGTAAAGCTGGGGTAAACAGTCCACTTCTGTTCTCTCTGAACACTCTAATCCTCCAATTACCAGCCCTAAACCTCCACACAGGGGCCTTTTCTCAATTGGAACTGCTCAACTCCTGCGTCCTCTCTCCTCCGTCTTCTCTCACCTCCTTTTGAAAATGGTCAAAGGTAATCGAGGAGAGGCGGCGAGGAGAGGGAACGGGGATGAAAATGCGCTTGTATGAAATGAGACTCTCCTTCTCCACTCATGCCTCATCAGGCAATTGATGTTTACAGCAACACAATCTCACACTCAATTTGTGCAAATATGTACAGTACAAAAAGTATTTCAGCAGATTTCGTGGTTTTTGTGCATTTTTGTGTGGCTTAATTTGTGTGAAAAAGACACACATTCTTGTGCGACTTAATTAGTAGGAAAATACACATTTTTGTGCGTCTTCATTTTAGGAAAATACATTTTTGGGAGGCAAACTTTGGAACAATCTTTTGAAAGTTATTAGAGCAATGCAAGGTGGGCAATAGTGTTCTACACTGCCTTTTTTTGTGTGTCCCACATTTATTTATAAAAACAAAAAAAACATGTTAACAACCCAATATTGTTAATCAACCAGGTTGTCACCTAAATAATTATAATATAATAGTAACCTTACATTGTTTATTTTTGTATTAATGCCAATACTGTTTTCTATGCTTGTTTTCACGTAATACTTTGGGATACTGGTGCACTTGTAGTCAGAAAGACCCTTTTTTCGTGTAGGCAACAGTAGGCCTACACCATTTTCGCATTTCGTATTTTGTGGAGCCTACATTACAACATTTTCTTCATAATGCATTTAATACAAGGCTCCACTTTTTTGTGTACATTACACCATTTATTTCATAATGCATTTTATACAAGGCTATGGGTTTCACAGCCCTATAATAATGATACAAGTTATATCACATTAAAAAGGGTTTATTTACAACCACTGGGCTATAACATGTTGGGCAAAATGGTATAGGAGAGTCTGACATATAATCTCTAATTTGAGTTCAGTCTTCACCAATGAGAACCAAGAGGGGCCTAGCTTCATCCTTCCTGACTGGGAAAGGCCTTGATTCTAGGCCGTAGAAAATCCTACATCCATCTAATTAGGTCAGAACAGGATGGATCAACAGTGACTCATATTACTGGTTTGCATCCTAAAAAAAGGATAGTTGTGTTTTGCTGCATTACACACTCACATTATTTGTCTACCCATATGAAGTGGATCATTGTCAGGTTATTTGATAATATATAAGCTTCAGTAACAAAAGAACACCATGGTTGTAATAACACTTTAAACAGGTAGTTTGTAAATGTGTAGAATGTGTTTGTTTTGGGTCCATACTGGTAAGTTAACTCATGTAAATTAGACAGTCACAGAGGATTTTCTTCTGAATAACTGGTCAGGGCATAGCACTTTCCATTCAGCTTCAGGCAACTTTGATGTAAGGCTTGATCCCACCTGTATTGACTACTTCTATCCGTCACGCCCATTGTTGCTTATCCATTGTTCACTAGATATATCAATGTAATTACACCCAACACAATGTTGAAAAACAGAATGCTTACCACCACTAGATCACATAACTAGACGTGAGCTGGACGTGATCCCAAAGCTGCCACCAATGTAGCGGAAGAAAGTAAAAGCTGCAACAGGGACTATAACCAGGGCTCATATGTGGCAAAGTGAGCTCTAAAGGCCGTTGCCATGAAAATCTAGTAGTCCTCTGGGCAGAGGCATTATGCCTACAATGCTGCCATATGCCTTGTTACAATGGCCTAAGTACTGTGTATAACATTATTGACACGAAAAATGTATTTTCCTAGGAATTAAGTCACACAAAAATTTGTATTTTCCTACGAATTAAGTCGCACAAAAAAAAGGTGTATTTTCACATGAATTAAGCCACACAAAAACAATGAAATACTTTTTGTACATATTTGCAAGAATTGAGTGTGAGATTGTGTTGTTTACAGGTGTGGATCCCTAAATAAATGCGTAAAGTGATCAAAACAAATGAAGTTAGTTGTGCAAGACATAGATACAACGATAAGTAGCATATTGTTTTTAAACGTGGGCATGCTTTTCTCCTCCGACAAAATAAAAACTGATTTAAAACTCTTCCGTGAAGGACTCAGGTAAAAGGATACAGATTACTGTCCTCGTTGAAAGGTGGCTATCGAGGAGGGGAGGACACTCTTCCGTTCGCCTACTAATGAACTGACATCTCCTTGACTACTCAACCACTTATCAGTCACGGAGGAGAGAGGACAGAGGAGAGAGGGTGGAGGACGGACTTTTCTCAAATGAGAAAAGGCCAGGGACACCATTACCCACAATGCAACCAGCAGCAGTTACAGCTTTTCAACTGCTGTTGTTCTGCATAAAATCAGAAGTTTACAGAGATGGGCAGCAATAAAGGCTACTGGGGTGGTAAGGTAGCCTACTGTGTGATTTTCTTTGGTGGTACACATATGGAAATCTATTGCATTAGTGCTATCTGCTGTTCGTTTGAAGCACTGGCTGACATGCGTTGTAACATAAGTACTTCAGGACAGAGATGCATTACAACCAAAGGCCACACCCACTTTTGCATAAAATGGAGGTGTATCCATATAGAATGATAGAGGCCTCTAGTGGCCAAAAGGCCATATTAGCATGGGCAGCGCCGTTGAGGGCTTCCACAATTTTAATGTAGTCAACTGGATGGGACTTCCAACTTCATTGGCTGATCACTCCTGGTGACCCTGTTGGAGGGATCAGCCAATCGTGAAGAAGAAAATGGACTACTTCAAAATGGACATAGCCTTAATGGCTCTGCCCATGCTGTCACAGATGCTGTCACTGATGCTATATTTGCACAGATACAAAGATGAGTCCTCTAGCTACAGTATCTCTATGGGTGTATCAAATAGTGTTCCTCCTTTAGATAAAGTTCCTCTAGGGGCACTGTTGAGGTACTATCCGATCATACAGCAATCAGAAGTTCACGTCACGGGTGATTTGAAATCAGCTTGAGTTTACAGAAGAAGTGTATGGATCATTTACAGTAAATTCCTTCAGTCAAATCTGAACAGAAGACAAAGCATACATTATTCCTCTTTGGTTCTTAATAATGTTCAGACTATAATTGTTCGTATTCACTTGTAATATTTGTACAAATATTTTAGTAATTTAGTAGACACTCTTATCCAGAGCGACTTACAGGAGCAATTAGGGTTAAGTGCCTTGCTCAAGGGCACATCAACAGATTTTTCACCTAGTCGGCTCGGAATGTGAACCAGCAACCTTACGGTTACTGGCCCAATGCTCTTAACCGCTAGGCTACCTGCCGATGTGAGGCTAACCATCATCATCATAAATATATATAATAACAAACAGATTTCAAGATTTCTTTGCCAAGGTCAATGATTCACAGACACACAGCACACTTTGCAAACATCCTATATGACTGTCTCACACCACTACTTCCCTCTAGTGGTGAATATATAACATCACACACTGTGTCCCATCATGGGGAATTGCTTGAACATAGGGACAGAACAACAGCATATGATAGCAATCTTGATATCTTGATCAGGCAAAGCACAGTTGTTTTGTATCAGGTCTTTGGTTCTGCAGTCTAAGGAGATGTAAATATGAACAATCTCTACAACCATTAGCAGCATGATACCCTGGTACAGTTATCCCCTCTCCTCTTACTGTGGAAGTCAGGAGCTCCTTTGGTCCCATGTCTGTTGTGGTATTATCAGGGTCTCGAGATCTCGTCTCTCGAGCATAGCTGCCTCTCATCTCAATCTTTTCCTTACAATCTGGAAAGGAAAAATGCTTATACAAATATATATGTTAGCAAATGTACCACATAATCCACAGTTCACAGTCTTTCTGTTAATAAAAACATCAGAATAACACCTGCTCTATGTGTGACATTCAGTGGGAGGGGGTCAGAGGTTAGAGGTGAACCTTTAGGGCTGATGTAGGGCTCTCCTGATGACACACACAGTAGCATGTCCTCCCTGGAGCTCAGAAGCCTGCCGTCTGCAGCGTACATCCTGGAGGAGGACCGGGACAGGCCCAGCCTCACAGTAAAGAAGCCTGCCGTCTGCAGCGTACAGCCTGGAGGAGGACCGGGACAGGCCCAGCCTCACAGTACAGAGGCCTGCTGTCTGCAGCGTACAGCCTGGAGGAGGACCGGGACAGGCCCAGCCTCACAGTACAGAAGCCAGTCGTCTGCAGCGTACAGCCTGGAGGAGGACCGGGACAGGCCCAGCCTCACAGTACAGAGGCCTGCCGTCTGCAGCGTACATCCTGGAGGAGGACCGGGACAGGCCAAGCCTCACAGTACAGAGGCCTGCCGTCTGCAGCGTACATCCTGGAGGAGGACCGGGACAGGCCCAGCCTCACAGTACAGAGGCCTGCCGTCTGCAGCGTACATCCTGGAGGAGGACCGGGACAGGCCCAGCCTCACAGTACAGAGGCCTGCCGTCTGCAGCGTACATCCTGGAGGAGGACCGGGACAGGCCCAGCCTCACAGTACAGAGGCCTGCCGTCTGCAGCGTACATCCTGGAGGAGGACCGGGACAGGCCCAGCCTCACAGTACAGAGGCCTTCCGTCTGCAGCGTACATCCTGGAGGAGGACCGGGACAGGCCCAGCCTCACAGTACAGAAGCCTGCCGTCTGCAGCGTATATCCTGGAGGAGGACCGGGACAGGCCCAGCCTCACAGTACACAGGCCTGCCGTCTGCAGCGTACATATTTTGTGAATTTTTTTTTTTCTGTGGCCGGAAATTCATCTTTATCACAAAATATAGCATGTTACTGACGGTGCCACATAGAGAATCCAGACTGGATTATGATATCGGACTCATACCTTTTTTGTCAATTTGGAGGAAGTACCTCTTCCATGCTTTTCCCTCAGACGTTGATAGATATATGCCTGTCTCCATTGTGGTACACCCTAACTCTTGCCATCAGGCTGATGGTACAGGTCCTGGGAGGTCTCTGGAAGTGGCCTGTGGCCTTTCTCTGGTACGGTCTACATCTCAGCTAGTAGAGTCAGGAGATAAAAAACTAAAAGTGATTATCAACGCCACATGATAATAAGGTTACCATGTCACTGCTGAAGGGTCAAAACCCTGCTACTATTATACTCCTCTATACCGTGCTTATGTCAGCTGAGTGCTCTCAGAGTCTCTACCAGTGATGCGGAAAAAAGGGTTCTACACTCTTAGAAAAAAGGGTTCCTAAAGGGTTCTTCGGTTGTCCCCATAGCATAGGACAATTTATTTTTGGTTCCAGGTAGAACCCTTTTTGGTTTCAGATAGAACCCTCTTCAAAGGGTTCTCCAATGGGGACAGCCGAATAACCCTTGTAGGTTCTAGATACAGTAGCACTTTTTTTTCTAAGGGTGTAGTACATCCATACCTCTGTGTTGTGCAGCTCCTCGTCCAGACAGAGTTCCTTGTGGTTGGGCTGCAGCCAGCTGTGCTCCACCACCATGGGCCTGGCAGGACTCTGGGTGGGCACCAGAGAGGCTGGGCCCGGTCTGGAGAAACGACAGGGTGCGTGGACCCAGGGGTCCCTTTATCTACAGATCAGTCAGACAGTACCATAAGGGGTTGGTGATACCTTCATTGGGGAGGACGGGCTCGTGGTAATGACTGGAGCAGAATAAGTGTTATGGTATCAAACACATGGGTTCCATGTGTTTGATGCCATTCCATTTGCTCCGTTCCGGGCCTCCACTGGACTCAATACTCTCTCCTTCTGGAGCCACAGAACCCTCTGCAGCTTCTCTCTTCTCCTAACTGAGGCAACATAATACACACACCATGATTGTGTGTATAGGAATATGTAGTGATTTACAAACCCCTAATTGCTGCTTGAGTCCGTACAAGGCTTAAGCAAAGGGAACATTACCTGCAAAGTCATCACCCAGGCAGCAAAAACACACGTCTCATTAGCATCTGGCCGTTACAGGCCATGCATGAAATGTGTTATTAAATGAAGCAGCATCTCATCTGGGTCGGGCCTCCCCAGGGCAATGCTGCTAGGATTCACCCACTGGCAAGAAAATAACTGAACAAGAATAACCAGGATGGAATATGTGCTGTTGTGGTGTCGAGAAAACGATGCTAGTTATGCTGTGAGAACAAGGAAATCTGCTGACACTGTACTTTGATTATAAGGGTTTATTCCATCAAAGGATTCCAGCGTCAATTTACAGACATCTGCAGACATCTGGAGAATAACCGGACCCAATCTGTAATATGTTATTCTCTCCGTCCTTTGTTTTAACCGTGGTATTTATCCTATGCCCTATGTAACATAATATGGGTGTTTTCCCCTACAGACCAATCCCAGGACTCCTCCTAACAGACTTCCTCTGCCCCTATAGAACTACTCTCCAGACGCTCCCTTTAAGCTTAGTCAACATCCTCTAAGACCATTTGCAACCATTAGCAAAGTCATAAATTGTTCAGATACCACATATTTCCCCCCTTCGAGACTAATTAAGTCTCGAAAACAAAAAGAATAGGTTTGTGACAAATAACAATTTTTCGCTTATTGAGTATCTTTAACAATAAACAAAATTTTATGGAGAGTAAACACCTTTTTCTATGGAGTGTAAATACATTTCTATGAAATATGAACAAATCTCTATGGAGTGTGAGTAAATTTCTATGAAAAATGAACAAATCTTTATGGAGTGTGAGAGCGAAAAACCTGTCTGGCAGCTTTCTTTCCAAATATCCATCAATCAATCAAGACAGTAAAATTCTCTCATGGCCCCTCTGCCCCAGGCAACCACTTAAGTACTCCAGATCAATTCATACATCTTTATCAATGCATTTTAAACTATGATGCAATTAAATACACATGAAAGCCTCAGCAAACAAAATACAATCAAATTTGTCCACATTCAGGCTGGTCAACACATTGGACCCTCCTGTGGATTCTCTCTATCCCTGCCTAGACCCAATATCCCTAAGCATCCACAAAATAAACAAAAACATCTGAGATCCCCACATGTTCCCAATAACAGCAAATATAATTCTTCAAAAATTAATACAGAAAGAATATGACACAAATTATGTATTACACATGCAAATATGTCTATATATCATTGCAGACACTGGAATGTAGTCCACTACACTTCATCTCCTCAGCAGTGTCGACTTCCAATGCAACTTCAATGATGGAATCTGAACCTTTCCACACCTTCCTTGTTCCACTTCCACCAGTCCATTCATATTGTCCCTTCATATTGTCCCTTCATATTGTCCCCTCTACACATTCCCCCATATGCTTCTGGAAGAAAATAAAAGACCAAACAGTATCTTTTGCAAAACAACACATTCAAATTAAAACATCAATATCAACTAAAAATTATATATAAAATTATATATAAAATGAATCACATTCCATTTCCCCATTTGATTCATCACAAAATACTAACTATCACCATAATATTTAAAAACATGTGAAAAATTCAAAATTGATATCTATCCATCAATACTCCTTTGAGTCTTTACAGAAGGTTAAACCCTCTTATCGTTTCATTTGCAAAACCCTTCAAATTATAGCTAATATTATCTATGTTATCTTCCAAAATTTTACATCATACCATGGAAAAAGTCCCCACTTCTCTCCTAGACTTATCCTCCAATGGTAGGCTTCCAGACTATTAAACTTCTCTCTTTCAGAATCAGATTTATCTCTTTCCCTTGCTTCCCCTCTTTTAATTGTAAAAACCTCATATGAAAGCTTCAACTTCAAAATGTAACAACATCCTATCCATCCATAGGGTAAGAATATATTATTTCTCACCACAAACCCCAGATGTTTCTAAAATTCCCAATAGTCACATTACCATGCAAAAACTTCTCTCACCATCAAAGTCCTTCTCTTTTTACTAAATTAAACATCAAAAGTTACATTATATTTCTCATTACTAACCTTATGTTCATGCTTACCCCAAAGTCATCATATAATCATCACCATCTGATATTCCCCTAAACATCCTCTTTCCATCATATGTTTTATTTTAACAAAAACAGCTTTTAGCCCTCACAGGTTTCACCTCCAATGCTTCATGAATCGCAGTTAACTGATTTTCCTTCCTATCTAACAAATTCACATAGGTTAATTCACTTAACCAATAACACTTAACCCTAGGCCTAAACAAATGCTTCCACAACGACATTATTTTATCTCTTAATGATTGTTGCTGATACAACAGCCATGATAAAGCATAAGATTTACACATACTTGATAGAGGTTTAGCTACCTTCTCTAAGATTCAACCCCATGTTCCTGGTGCTGAAATTCTCAACAGACATGGACCCTCAACATTCCTCACTGATCTTACAGAATGAGTTAACTGTTGAACTAAAGATTCCTACCTGCCCATCCATCTTTAATTTCCAAACAGAAAAATCAAATCCATATGCCTTCCATTTAGTTTCTCTCTTCCCTAACGAGCAGTATTGATCAGATATATCTTCTTGTCTTCCATCAAAATCAAACAACTCATCCTGTACCTCCATGATAGTATTCTCCCTTATCTTCCCTCTAACATTACTCAAAATAAGTTAGCAATCACTCATAACCCTCTTCCACTTCATATCGTTGTACAAAATATACTTCCTTTCACTAGGTGAAACAGCTTCTACTTCTTGTCCTTATAACAACACTCTTCTCCATAATTATCTCTCCACATGAGAGGAACGTCACCTCTACACATTCCTTCTCTCACATCTACAAGGAAGATAAGCTGTACCACCCATCCTAACTGTCACGATCGTCAAAAGGATTGGACCAATGCGCAGCGTGGAATGCAAACATACTTTATTATATATTCACCACACGAACAAAAACAACAAAACGATACGTGAAGTCCTTGGTAACAAACACAAACCAACACGGAACAAGATCCCACAAACACAAATGCCCAAACGGCTGCCTAAGTATGGTTCTCAATCAGAGACAACAAGCAACAGCTGATTCTCGTTGCCTCTGATTGAGAACCACCCCGGCCAACATAGAAACACAATGAACTAGATCCTGAACATAGAAACACGAAACATAGACTCTACACACCCTGGCTCAACATAACAGAGTCCCCAGAGCCAGGGCGTGACACTAACCCTAATGACAGTCTTTTCCTCTAAAATTGGTGCTGGAGCGATTGGCTCCCTTGTAATCAAATGTGATACATTTATAGCTTTAATAACTGTCAATGTTGAAAGAGTTGAATTGCTTCTCACTGTTGTTTATAATAGGCTGGTGTTGATGTCATTGTTGTTAATTCATCCATTTTCCCTAAAGCTTTGAACTCTTTACTTGTATTTCCATCTATCACCACTAGTGTCACTACATTAACTCTCAGTCCCAACTCTAATCCCTCACTTTCAAACTGTGGATTATAAAAATTACATTTATAATCACCTTGATCCCCCTGCTGGGAATTGTAAATATAGAGACTACAATCACCCTCAATCTTCATTCTTCTCTTATCATTCAGCAACGCATACTTTCTCAATGCAACTGCTCCTAACAGATCTAAACTCCTGCCATATCTATCTTCCCACTGAACTCTAAATTTCCCTTCACCACTGTTCTCTCTCCATTCCTACTAACATTGAAGCTGAGCTGACTGTCCTAGAGTTCCTTCAACCCTAGTTTTCATAACTTTTTTATCTGACTTTTTTCTTAATTTTTCCAAAAACCATTTCACTGATTTATCCACAAATTCCTTTCCCACTAATTTTAGGATATTTGATCCGGAAGTCCCCACCTGCTTATGACTTCTTTACACAAAAACTTGGCAAACGATTGAGCATCTTTTAGCTTAGTTTGACATCTCATTCCCCTCTTGGTGTAGGAATGTAACCAAGAATAACAGTCACCCCTTTTAAACATTATTTTTCAGACAGATTGTCCACCTGCCTATGACATAGTCAATCTATTCAAGCAAATATGATTCCCAAAAACCCTACTCCTTTGTAATCTTTCTCCTAACCTCCCCCCTTGCAACATTAGCTAACCCCTAGCTTCCTAAATCATCAGACCTAATAGGTCCAGAGGCGCTACTATCAACCCCTCATGGTTTCTCCCAAAACAACAATTGATTGCTACTCTAAGGATTTTTTCTTGTCTTCAAAACACCTGCTTTTGAAAGTCCTTCAATTTCTTGTTCAATCCCTTGGATTGCTTCATCTTTCAATGGATACTGATTCTTCCAAGGAGGTCTGCCTCCTCGTTGAAGTTCAACTTTCACAATGCATCTCTTCCCAACAATGCAATATGTTTATGTTCTGATACCAGTATGGATATTGTAATTTTCTAATTTTCATAGCCAAACTCAATTGGTTCCTTAAGAGTAATCAGCTGTTTCACTCCCTCAAATCCGATTGTCCTAATTAGTTGATTTGACATAGTGAGATGTGTAACCTCTTCAGGCTGAACACAGATAAAAGCCGTTCCGCTATCCATCATCACTTCCAATGGTCCGTTGTTTATTTTCACCTCAATTGTTGGATCTTTTTCCCCTAACTGGTGCTACCAGCTGACACCCCCCCTTTCGGATCTTCTAGGCACCCCTAGAATCCTTGCTCCTTGCCCCTATAAGGGTTCACCTGTCCTCCAGATGATCTTCACTTGCTCCTGTATCTTCCTCTGAAATTCCCTCGTGTGTTTCCTTCTGGCCCATTACACTCACAGGCAAATTCACCAACCTGTCCACAATCATAACACACAATTGCTGGAAGTATGGCTTAAATCTTCCTCCTCTTCCTAAGCCTTCTCGTCCTCTTCCTCTCCAATTCTGTGTCTGTCCAGAAACTGGCTATGGATATGAAACAACTTGTACCACTAGTTATGGCTGGTACAATTGCATTTGACCTGGTTCGGTTGAAGCTGTGGCAGTGATTGTTGATTTGGTGCACACTGATTCTTCATAACCAAAGCTTTTCTTTCTCCTTCTTATTCTCCCCCAGTTGTATTTCATCAAGTTTTCTGAGAGTTTCTTGGTCCTGTTCTTTCTAGTTGTGTTCCTTTTTCCTGTACAGATCCACTTGATAGGCTATATGATCTCTATAGGCACCTTTTGTCATGCTTCCAAGTCCAACCACCTCTGCCAGTTTGCTCCTTACTTGTGAGGGCAGTCCCCTCTGCAGTTTAGCTCTCAAAATTGACTTCTCAATTTGACTCACATCTGGATCATTTCCAGTAATATTTCTCCACACTTGATGAACTCTTGACACATAGGCTCTCAGATTTTATTGTTGACCTAGTAGGTCAATCAGAATGTTGTCAGAATGCACATTTGTTGGAAACATATCTTTCAGTGCTCTCCACAGCCTATTTCTACTTGCAGCCAACAATTCAGGGTCATTCACTTCAGTCCCCACATATCTATTAAGTCCCACTCTCTGAAATATTTCTTCCATATCTGGAATCCCAAGGAGATTAGCCAAAAGTCTCTTAATGTCTCCTATGGCAGACTATGTTCCCACCATAATTTCTTCAAATTTTTGAAATCCAAGGATATGCTCCATCTTGAAGAGTAGACAGCTTCTCAAGTATATCTGACATATCGGTATTCTTCAAAGGCTTATATTCTAGGTTCTATCCTCTAAATATCATCTTGCATCATCTTCTTACTTGTGCTCTCTTTCCTTGGCCTCAATGTATTATTCTTCTCCAATTCTTGGTATCCTTTTCTCAGCAGTTTTTTCTTCTCTTCTGTATCTTCAGCTTCTTGAGTTGTTCTTCCAGTTCTCTTACTTCTTCTAAATTATTCCCTCTATCCAGGCATGATACGCATCTGTCTATATCTCTTTCTATTTCTTCTGTGCTAATCATTGTAGGATAAAATCCTCCTTAACATAAAGCACCTTTAATCTCCAAATCTTCATCGCTTTCTCCATCTTCACTTTCATCAGAGATCGAATCTCTAGTATCCTTCTTCTTCCTTCAACTTCCATCACCCCTTCTTTCCTCTCTTGCCAACTTCCTTCTGATCACAGAGTCATATCCACCCATGATCTCTTCTCAATCACTCTGATCATCATCATCATCATCATCTTCAAGTTCCATCTTCCTGAACCTCACTCCACCCTTAGTTTCCAGACATCTCGTTTTCTTCCTACTTTTGGAGTTTTGGATTCATCTTTATGGTCATTTCTGCTTTTCCTCTCTCTATTATTCAAGCACTTTCATTATGTTGATGACGTCAGGGTTAAGAGTCCCTTCCACTAGCCATGGTTGTTCAATGTCAGGCCAACGTTTATTCCATTTTCCAGATAACCTTGCAATACCATTAACTAAAGGATTACTATTTTCTACTACATCAACAGGAGTAATTACTTTCATAGTTTTTATGTCCTTTTCCCCCCTTGTAACAACTATTTTATATTCCTTTATTGTGAATTATTTCATTATTTTAGACTATGTAGCTTATAGTTCCCTCTTTTTTTATTTTTTACCAAATTAATTAATTAGTGGCAATCTTACCACATCCGATCAGGAAAAGTAAATGAAAGTAGTCACCTTAGAGCAATCCAAAAAATAAAGACCTCTAATCCTGCAACTCTACAGCACTCACAAACCCATTTCCTAATAAGCACCCAATTACCTTAATTTTACAGAATAATGTCAATGCTCGATTTCCCCACTCAACTCTAATCAAACCCACTCATGCACAAAAACTCCAAAATGCAATTCTTAATTACATCAATTGATCAGTCTGTTGCCAAGTCCTTGTCAAATTGTCATAACATCAAATATGCTAGGCACCCAAAATATCCTCTATGGGAAGGTAAGTTTTGTGAATAGAACAGTACTAGCCTTGATTTGACTTGATCCGTTGCAGCACACTCTGTCGCATGATGCACTCATCAGCACCTCCTCTCTCTCTGTGTCTCCTCCTTCTTATCATCTCTCATATCACAGAACAAAGAACAGACAAGAATTTAGTATTTTATGCACTCACTGGGTTATTTCAACCATTCAATACCCCTCTGTTCACATTCGCTCTAAGAAATAAGCAAACAGCTTAACTCAGGAATAGTATAAATAGCTCAATAACATTTTATTTTATTTATTTTATTTTATTATTTTTTTATCCATCAACATATCTCTCATTTATCAAGTCAATAGATCTCAATCAAATAGTTTCATCGTTAAGCAACAGCCGATTCAAATCAAATCAAATCAAATTGTATTGGTCACATGCGCCGAATACAACAGGTGCAGACATTACAGTGAAATGCTTACTTACAGCCCTTAACCAACAGTGCATTTATTTTAAACAAAAAAAGTAAGAATAAAACAACAACAAAAAAAGTGTTGAGAAAAAAAGAGCAGAAGTAAAATAAAGTGACAGTAGGGAGGCTATATATACAGGGGGGTACCGTTGCAGAGTCAATGTGCGGGGGCACCGGCTAGTTGAGGTAGTTGAGGTAATATGTACATGTGGGTAGAGTTAAAGTGACTATGCATAAATACTTAACAGAGTAGCAGCAGCGTAAAAAGGATGGGGTGGGGGGGCAGTGCAAATAGTCCAGGTAGCCATGATTAGCTGTTCAGGAGTCTTATGGCTTGGGGGTAGAAGCTGTTGAGAAGTCTTTTGGACCTAGACTTGGCACTCCGGTACCGCTTGCCGTGCGGTAGCAGAGAGAACAGTCTATGACTAGGGTGGCTGGAGTCTTTGACAATTTTGAGGGCCTTCCTCTGACACCGCCTGGTATAGAGGTCCTGGATGGCAGGAAGCTTTGCCCCAGTGATGTACTGGGCCGTACGCACTACCCTCTGTAGTGCCTTGCGGTCGGAGGCCAAGCAGTTGCCATACCAGGCGGTGATGCAACCAGTCAGGATGCTCTCGATGGTGCAGCTGTAGAATTTTTTGAGGATCTGAGGACCCATGCCAAATCTTTTTAGTCTCCTGAGGGGGAATAGGCTTTGTCGTGCCCTCTTCACGACTGTCTTGGTGTGTTTGGACCATGATAGTTTGTTGGTGATGTGGACACCAAGGAACTTGAAGCTCTCAACCTGTTCCACTACAGCCCCGTCGATGAGAATGGGGGCGTGCTCAGTCTTCTTTTTTTTTCCTGTAGTCCACAATCATCTCCTTTGTCTTGGTCACGTTGAGGGAGAGGTTGTTGTCCTGGCACCACACGGCCAGATCTCTGACCTCCTCCCTATAGGCTGTCTCATCGTTGTCGGTGATCAGGCCTACCACTGTTGTGTCGTCGGCAAACTTAATGATGGTGTTGGAGTCGTGCCTGGCCATGCAGTCATGGGTGAACAGAGAGTACAGGAGGGGACTGAGCACGCACCCCTGAGGGGCCCCCGTGTTGAGGATCAGTGTGGCAGATGTGTTGTTACCTACCCTTACCACCTGGGGGCGGCCCGTCAGGAAGTCCAGGATCCAGTTGCAGAGGGAGGTGTTTAGTCCCAGGATCCTTAGCTTAGTGATGAGCTTAGAGGGCACTATGGTGTTGAATGCTGAGCTGTAGTCAATGAATAGCATTCTCACGTAGGTGTTCCTCTTGTCCAGGTGGGAAAGGGCAGTGTGGAGTGCGATAGAGATTGCATCATCTGTGGATCTGTTGGGGCGGTATGCAAATTGGAGTGGGTCTAGGGTTTCTGGGATAATGCTGTTGATGTGAGCCATGACCAGTCTTTCAAAGCACTTCATGGCTACAGACGTCAGTGCTACGGGTCGGTAGTCATTTAGGCAGGTTATCTTAGAGTCCTTGGGCACGGGGACTATGGTGGTCTGCTTGAAACATGTTGGTATTACAGACTCAGTCAGGGACATGTTGAAAATGTCAGTGAAGACACTTGCCAGTTGGTCAGCACATGCTCGGAGTACATGTCCTGGTAATCCGTCTGGCCCTGCGGCCTTGTGAATGTTGACCTGCTTAAAAGTCTTACTCACATCGGCTACGGAGAGCGTGATCACATAGTCATCCGGAACAGCTGGTGCTCTCATGCATGCTTCAGTGTTGCTTGCCTCGAAGCGAGCATAGAAGTGGTTTAGCTCGTCTGGTAGGCTTGTGTCACTGGGCAGCTCGCGGCTGTGCTTCCCTTTGTAGTCTGTAATAGTTTTCAAGCCCTGCCACATCCGACGAGCGTCAGAGCCAGTGTAGTATGATTCAATCTTAGACCTGTATTGACTCTTTGCCTGTTTGATGGTTCGTCGGAGGTCATAGCGGGATTTCTTATAAGCGTCCGGGTTAGAGTCCCGTTCCTTGAAAGCGGCAGCTCTACCCTTTAGCTCAGTGCGGATGTTTCCTGTAATCCATGGCTTCTGGTTGGGGTATGTACGTACGGTCACTGTGGGGACGACATCATCGATGCACTTATTGATGAAGCCAGTGACTGATGTGGTGTACTCCTCAATGCTGTCTGAAGAATCCCAGAACATGTTCCAGTCTGTGCTAGCAAAACAGTCCTGTAGCTTAGCATCTGCGTCATCTGACCACTTTTTTATTAACCAAGTCACTGGTGCTTCCTGCTTTAGTTTTTGCTTATAAGCAGGAATCAGGAGGATAGAGTTATGGTCAGATTTGCCAAATGGAGGGCGAGGGAGAGCTTTGTATGCGTCTCTGTGTGTGAAGTAAAGGTGGTCTAGAGTTTTTTTCCCTCTGGTTGCACATTTAACATGCTGGTAGAAATTAGGTAGAACGGATTTAAGTTTCCCTGCATTAAAGTCCCCGGCCACTAGGAGCGCTGCATCTGGATGAGCGTTTTCCTGTTGATCTATGGCCTTGTACAACTCATTCAGTGCAATCTTAATGCCAGCATTGGTTTGTGGTGGTAAATAGACAGCTATGAAAAATATAGATGAAAACTCTCTTGGTAAATAGTGTGGTCTACAGCTTATCATAAGATACTCTACCTCAGGCGAGCAAAACCTCGAGACTTCCTTAGTATTTGATTTTGTGCACCAGCTGTTGTTTACAAATATACACAGACCGCCTCCCCTTGTCTTACCGGAGTCAGCCGTTCTGTCCTGCCGATGTAGCGTATAGCCTGCTAGCTGAATGTTATCATTGTTGTCGTTCAGCCACGACTCCGTGAAACATAAGATATTACAGTTTTTTGTTTTCAACAAACAGAACACTCCATTCGTGTCTAAATCTCCTCTGTCTGCTCTGAGTCTGCGTCTCCCAGCAGCTCAGTGCAGGCAGGGGAGTGGCACATTTGCTCTACGTAACTCTAAACTCATAAAATCACACGCATGCGTAGTTCATTCACCAGTGCGATTTCAGAGTGGAAGGAGCTCTCAAGCAGCTCTCTCCCAGCCTAAACAACAGAAAGTAGACAGACCCGCTGTACTTCCTCTCTTTCCCCCCATATACAAACAGTAACACTTAACAGAGCTCACAAAACATAGAACACAAATCCTACTCTCTTCTACACACACACACATACAGTTTAAGAGGCTTATTTCCGTTCCTACGGACCCCTAAGCATGCTACTACCATCGTGCCATTTTTTTCCTTTGTTCCTACATTTTTGCTACCTCAAGTTCACGGATATCCAATGAGCGGTTACATCAAACATATACTTCGTCAACCATAAGTTGAGCGGTAACTTGCAATCGAATGTATATACCACAACCCACAGTCCCCGGGACTGACCTAAACCCACCTAATGCGCTTTTAGGATTTTCGGCCCATCCTAATGATCGCCTCGTTTGAGGGCTTCCATAGATTCGCGGTGTTCTAATTTGTATACATTTTCCTTAGTTCCTGGCTGTCAGTGGGTGCTGTAGGTGGTTGTGGTGCAGGAATCAGATGCAGGACGCAGAAAAATAAGTCCAATAGACTTTAGTGAACAGCACACTCAAATTCACGAGTCAAACGCCCGGAGGCGAGAAAGTCCGCACACAGGCGAAAACCAAACGGCGCACAAAACAGTGCGTAAATAACCTCCGAACACAGAGGAGGAAAATATGAAATGCACAAGGCAAACAGTAGCGCACAAAACACGACAGCGAAACAATAACACACAAACACAGACACACACAACGAGAACTAAATAGAACACTAACGAGGACTAACTAGACACAGGTGTACAACATCAAGACCAAACCAAACGAACATGAAACATAGATCGGTGGCAGCTAGTACTCCGGAGACGACGACCGCCGAAGCCTGCCCGAACCAGGAGGAGGCGCAGCCTTGGCCGAAACCGTGACACTGGCCTTTCCTTCATTGTATTCTTTTTGAATTTTAGTCAAGCAAAATATCCCTATAGACACTCCCCCCTGTTTGCGTTGTTACCAGCGCAAACAAATTTCGAAATTTAGAACGGACTCCTATCCCACAGCAAATAACAGCAAAGCACACACGCAAGTTCTTAACGATGCATTCATTCAGCGCACACACACAGACACACGAACTAACCAGTGCCCATAGTAGTGAGAAAACTCACCCTTATCTGCCGGACTCTGGAGCGAAAGTCAGCTCGGCGCCCATGAATGGAACGCTGAGAAAAGACGCAACATGACCAATACCTCGTCGCCATTATGTGGTTTCCCAGAGTGGGCATCCTCGTCGACATTATTGTAGTGTCGAGAAAACGATGCTAGTTATGCTGTGAGAACAAGGAAATCCGCTGACACTGTACTTTGATTATAAAGGTTTATTCCATCAAAGGATTCCAGCGTCAATTTACAGACATCTGCAGACATCTGGAGAATAACCGGACCCAATCTGTAATATGTTATTATCTCCGTCCTTTGTTTTAACCGTGGTATTTATCCTATGCCCTATGTAACATAATATGGGTGTTTTCCCCTACAGACCAATCCCAGGACTCCACCTAACAGACTTCCTCTGCCCCTATAGAACTACTCTACATATGCTCCCTTTAAGCTTAGTCAACATCCTCTAAGACCATTTGCAACCATTAGCAAAGTCATAAATTGTTCAGATACCACACTGTAGTAGCAAAGGAAAATGGACATTACTGTGTATTTATGTACAATTTCATAATATGAAATCCCCTTAGCACATCCATGTACCACTGTGTGTGTGTCTCACCATCTAAGGGGAAGTAAGGCTCTCCACAAGACAACCAGACATGGATGGGGGACCTCAGTAGGGGAGGTAAGGCTCTCCACAGGACAACCAGACATGGAGGGGGACCTCAGTAGGGGAGGTAAGGCTCTCCACAAGACAACCAGACATGGAGGGGGACCTCAGTAGGGGAGGTAAGGCTCTCCACAGGACAACCAGACATGGAGGGGGACCTCAGTAGGGGAGGTAAGGCTCTCCACAGGACAACCAGACATGGAGGGGGACCTCAGTAGGGGAGGTAAGGCTCTCCACAGGACAACCAGACATGGGGGGGACCTCAGTAGGGGAGGTAAGGCTCTCCACAGGACAACCAGACATGGAGGGGGACCTCAGTAGGGGAGGTAAGGCTCTCCACAGGACAACCAGACATGGAGGGGGACCTCAGTAGGGGAGGTAAGGCTCTCCACAGGACAACCAGACATGGAGGGGGACCTCAGTAGGGGAGGTAAGGCTCTCCACAGGACAACCAGACATGGATGGGGACCTCAGTAGGGGAGGTAAGGCTCTCCACAGGACAACCAGACATGGAGGGGGACCTCAGTAGGGGAGGTAAGGCTCTCCACAGGACAACCAGACATGGAGGGGGACCTCAGTAGGGGAGGTAAGGCTCTCCACAGGACAACCAGACATGGAGGGGGACCTCAGTAGGGGAGGTAAGGCTCTCCACAGGACAACCAGACATGGAGGGGGACCTCAGTAGGGGAGGTAAGGCTCTCCACAGGACAACCAGACATGGAGGGGGACCTCAGTAGGGGAGGTAAGGCTCTCCACAGGACAACCAGACATGGAGGGGGACCTCAGTAGGGTGCATCCTGACAGCAACTACAGACACAGAAACTCATACTGTACACCTGTGTAACAACAAAGTCATACACTTACTTGTACTGTTTATGCTGCTATAGTATAGATGTAGTTACTGTAGCTACACATGTTAATGCAGTATTAGGAGATGACAGTCTGTGTCTGTCTGTCTGTCTGTTTCAGTGGCCCTGTGGTGTCTCACCAGGGGCTTTGTTGCCGTGGTGATCAGCTGGCCCTCCTCTAGGCCCCCCTGCCCATTCCTGTGGGCCAGGATCTTAACACTCGGCTGCGTCCGGGCTGCGCTGCTCACCTCTGGGGACGGCGTCTGCTCCTGCAGCACTGCAGCCTCCGTCCTCAGTGACTCTAGACGCTCCTCTAGACGATGCAGAATGGCCTCTGCTGCAGACTCACTGAGCTCCATCTGCAGGAGGACACAGCTGGAGTCTTAGTCTCTCACACACAGAAATGAAGACACACACATACACACTCTCCTGGGGGTTCATGAGGAGAACATGTTTACTCCAATGTAACCATCTGCATCGCCTTTGATTTCATAATGAACTTCACACCCACTTGATTTCAAGGAATGCTGTAGGGGATACTGGATGTACCACTACCTTGTGGACCTTGAGGTTCCTGAAGGGTCCAGTTGGGCTGAGCTGGTGGTTGTGACTGGCCGTAGAGCAGAAGGAGGAGGATTCTGGGGGAAGCTTCTGGAAAACTCCTCTCCCTCTCAGTCCAATGGAAAAGCTAGGACACACATCCACCCTGTCCCCACAGATCATCTGGCCTGGTGAAGGAGCAACCCTGTCCTCACAGATCACCTGGCCTGGTGAAGGAGCAACCCTGTCCCCACAGATCACCTGGCCTGGTGAAGGAGAAACCCTGTCCCCACAGATCACCTGGCTTGGTGAAGGAGAAACCCTGTCCACACAGATCACCTGGCTTGGTGAAGGAGCAACCCTGTCCCCACAGATCACCTGGCTTGATGAAGGAGAAACCCTGTCCCCACAGATCACCTGGCCTGGTGAAGGAGAAACCCTGCCTCCACAGAGTACAGTGTGAGATACCGTACAGACACAGCATTATTCAGAAAGAGATGAGGTGTAGAACACACTCAGAACCCTGAGCTCTGGTAACCAGCCCCACTTCTGGTTGGCTGCTCCATAACTGTTTGGCTTGTACATCTGAAAAGACAGTATATAGAAGAGATAAAACCATGATACTTTCAGTATGTAATGGTCTGTATTGTTGTTGTTGTTGACTTTCTGTGCTTGTCAGTGTGTCTCACTGGTAGGACAGCAGAGCAGCATGTGAGGAGAGGGGGTTCAGAGGAGGAGTCTCTTGTGGTGATTGTAGTCATGGAAACAGACAACACAAGCTTATGGTTGGCCAACAGATGAAGAGTCCTGGAGATCAAGATTAGTGTGAGGTGACAAACGATGATAAAAACTAACTGTGTATATTTATATCGACTACTTTCATACACTTTTCCCCTATGGCTTCTGAGAACATGAAAAGACCTTTGACCCTGTCATCGTGTCCTTGGCTGGATCTCATAGGCACAGTGCAGTGTACTAGACAGGGTCAGAAGGGGATCATATCCAACATCAGTGTGACATGGGAGGATAGACAAACAGGGTCACACTCTGACATCAGTACAAATTCACATGGGGTCCATTCTCCTACCTCTCTCCCTCATTCAGTGTCCAGCATTGGGTTAAGTCGGAGGGGTTCCGGCGCACTAACTGGAAGGGTGACCCTGCTTGTACCCCATGTTACCCAATGGCCCCAGTGACTCCCACAGCCAGTCAGGGTATCTGCAGCTCACTACCTGGTTCTTACTGTACTCAAACTGCTGTCTGTGGGCCTGTGTGATGCTGCTACCGCGCTGTTGCATCCTAGAGAGAAACAACACAGAGAGAGACAGCAGAAATAGTGACACACAATGCAGAAAATACAGAACAATAGACAACACTGCAACCTAACCTGGTCTTAGCTGGTTGGTCAGTATTACTACAGCCATTTTCCATCCACAACATTTTGTATTTCATCTTCCTCGTGGTTCCCTCGTCAAGGGTATTTGAAAGTAGGAGACAACTCCTCTATTTTGTGGTGAGCTCTTGAGTGCGAGTCCCCACTGAAACAGAAAAGAAAGAACACATGATGTCAAGACTCAAATAACATTGAAAGAGGGACTTATTTTCATGAAGGTAAACACATTTACAAGACATTAAATGGAAGGACATATTACATATACATGTTTGGTGTGACGGATAAGAGAGTGGACCTGACTGGCCTTCTTATTTGTTACTGACAGACTCACATAAGACTGTTGAGGTGATCATGATCAGTGCAGTCCTCCTGGGGCGTTGACTCTTACCTCCGCTCTACATAGAAAACACTACAGGGGGCCCCAGTGATCAGAGAGCCCTCCTGTAGAACCCTCCTGTAACTCAACTCTAACCTCCTGGGGAGACAACCAGGAAACACAGGACTCTACTGCACACATCACATACAGTGGGGGAAAAAAGTATTTAGTCAGCCACCAATTGTGCAAGTTCTCCCACTTAAAAAGATGAGAGAGGCCTGTAATTGTCATCATAGGTACACGTCAACTATGACAGACAAAATGAGAAAAGAAAATCCAGAAAATCACATTGTAGGATTTTTAATGAATTTATTTGCAAATTATGGTGGAAAATAAGTATTTGGTCAATAACAAAAGTTTCTCAATACTTTGTTATATACCCTTTGTTGGCAATGACACAGGTCAAACGTTTTCTGTAAGTCTTCACAAGGTTTTCACACACTGTTGCTGGTATTTTGGCCCATTCCTCCATGCAGATCTCCTCTAGAGCAGTGATGTTTTGGGGCTGTCGCTGGGCAACACGGACTTTCAACTCCCTCCAAAGATTTTCTATGGGGTTGAGATCTGGAGACTGGCTAGGCCACTCCAGGACCTTGAAATGCTTCTTACGAAGCCACTCCTTCGTTGCCCGGGCGGTGTGTTTGGGATCATTGTCATGCTGAAAGACCCAGCCACGTTTCATCTTCAATGCCCTTGCTGATGGAAGGAGGTTTTCACTCAAAATCTCACGATACATGGCCCCATTCATTCTTTCCTTTACACGGATCAGTCGTCCTGGTCCCTTTGCAGAAAAACAGCCCCAAAGCATGATGTTTCCACCCCCATGCTTCACAGTAGGTATGGTGTTCTTTGGATGCAACTCAGCATTCTTTGTCCTCCAAACACGACGAGTTGAGTTTTTACCAAAAAGTTATATTTTGGTTTCATCTGACCATATGACATTCTCCCAATCCTCTTCTGGATCATCCAAATGCACTCTAGCAAACTTCAGACGGGCCTGGACATGTACTGGCTTAAGCAGGGGGACACGTCTGGCACTGCAGGATTTGAGTCCCTGGCGGCGTAGTGTGTTACTGATGGTAGGCTTTGTTACTTTGGTCCCAGCTCTCTGCAGGTCATTCACTAGGCCCCCCCGTGTGGTTCTGGGATTTTTGCTCACCGTTCTTGTGATCATTTTGACCCCACGGGGTGAGATCTTGCGTGGAGCTCCAGATCGAGGGAGATTATCAGTGGTCTTGTATGTCTTCCATTTCCTAATAATTGCTCCCACAGTTGATTTATTCAAACCAAGCTGCTTACCTATTGCAGATTCAGTCTTCCCAGCCTGGTGCAGGTCTACAATTTTGTTTCTGGTGTCCTTTGACAGCTCTTTGGTCTTGGCCATAGTGGAGTTTGGAGTGTGACTGTTTGAGGTTGTGGACAGGTGTCTTTTATACTGATAACAAGTTCAAACAGGTGCCATTAATACAGGTAACGAGTGGAGGACAGAGGAGCCTCTTAAAGAAGAAGTTACAGGTCTGTGAGAGCCAGAAATCTTGCTTGTTTGTAGGTGACCAAAGACTTATTTTCCACCATCATTTGCAAATAAATTCATAAAAAATCCTACAATGTGATTTTCTGGATTTTTTTCCCTCAATTTGTCTGTCATAGTTGACGTGTACCTATGATGAAAATTACAGGCGTCTCTCATCTTTTTAAGTGGGAGAACTTGCACAATTGGTGGCTGACTAAATACTTTTTTCCCCCACTGTATACACAGAGAAAGAAAATAGAATTGTTTTTCATACTATTTCCTCAACGTGCAGGCCTAATAACATGCCACAGTTCAACATGCATTGTCATTGATGGACGTATGTACGTTTTAGGAGTGCTGATTGGTCTCCTGGGATGTACCAACCATGCTGGTGGCAGAGGGTGCAGTAGTGGTGGATCTGGGACACATCCAGGTGGAGAAGGTAGCACTGTTTGATTACTTTACCACGGCTGAGATGAGGGTTAATCCACGGCTTCCCACAACACATACACCTCAATGACATAGAGAGGAAAGAAAACAGGAGTTCAAACTTAAAGGTCCAATGCAGCCGTTTTTTTATCTCAATATTAAATCATTTCTGGGTAACAATTAAGTACCTTACTGTGATAGTTTTCTATTAAAATGCTAGGACTCTCTGGGAGTGGTCTGAGTGGGGAGGGGAAAACTGAAAACTATTGGCAGAGAGGTTTGGAACTCTTTTTCTTATTGGTCTATTAACTAATTTACCACCTGGTGATGTCACCAGGCAGGGCAAAACTCCATCCCACCAAAACATTCAGAAATGTCAGGCGGTCTTTTCCAACAGCTTTTACACTAAAATTGCATTATCATAATTTTCATAATTTCACACTATTATTTCAACCTCATAGTGTGGAAATATATATAAAACACAGGAAAATCACATTTTGGACTGCACTGGGCCTTTAAGGTAAATAAAGTTGACTTGTGTGTTAACTTTTAATTCATAAGGTAAAAGTTGATTCAAAAGTATGATTTCAATACCAGCTGGTCTGGAATCAGGTCTTGGAGTAGAGTTATCTCCCTGCCGTCTGAGAGGAAGAGCCTGTGAGCAGCGTGGGGAAGATGAAGAGACTGTGCACCTGAGGAGAAAACATTACAGGAGAGATTTACTGTACTGTTCCACCCTTCCCAAAGAAAAGAAAGGGATTTTTTCTTCATGAATATATTTCAATTCAACTCAAGGTTTTACCTCTCAGGGAACTGCTGAAACTGTGAATTTCTCTTTTCACTCTCCCTGCTGGCACCCCTCTCTATGCTGTGCTGCCGAGAGGCTTCCTACTGCACAGATGAATGGAGGGAAACATAATCATAATCAGTTCTATTCCCTGGCCTTGCACGGCTGCAAGGGGGATCGTAACGAGAAATTAACTTATGCAAATGACGCCCCAGATTCTAGGCCTGAGCCCGTAATGAAGGAGAGCGGCTGACGCAGACAGAAAGGTCAAAGGTCAGGCAGGCTGCATGTGCTCATCTGTAAACGGGAACCCAGGGCAGCTTTATTTACTTTGCTCCAAAGATGGGGAACTGATTGAGTTAATTAGGAGGTACAAATGATATTCCTGGATCAGAAACTCCAATTTCAGGCTTGACTTTACCTTGAGCGAATGAATGTTCATTGGTGGGTTGTGTGGGGGGTAGAAGGCTATGCATTCTTTCCAAATGATTGGTGAATAGTAGAGTCCTCTTATTGCTGAATCAAGCCTAATGCACTAATACATCTGTGATCTGGATCTAAATTAATACATAGACATAAATCATCTCAAGGTCTGTACACTGAGAGCATCAGTAGGCCTACACCAGAACCATATAATGCACCCTACTAAATGTGTATCTGTTCGTATCATCGTCTATCACTTTTTGGGGTTGGCAAATACTTTAGGCTTTTGTCTGACACTACTGTACTATACAATAATGGAAGCCTACATGACAATATGGTGTTGCCTACAGTGGATGTAGAATGATATGTATTGTGTCCACATACTTAGGATATGGTCGTCAGTGTCAGAGAGCAGGGATGTAGAAGAGCTGATTGGATACTGTCCTCACCGAGTGTTCAGTATGTTGGTGAGGTTAGGTGCTGTAACAGTTATGGCTTTGGCCTTTTCTACCCCCTGTCCGTTTCTCAGTACCCTCGGTCTCAGTGGTGCAGAGCTGAAACAGCGCCCTCTGCTGTTGGAGTCAGTCAGTGGCTGAGCACAGGGGACTTCTGAGTTCAGGACCTGCATGGGCATTCAAACAGCAGCTTGATAAATTAGCTTGGCTATTTCTCTCTGGTGTCCCAACACTGTCAGTGCAAATGAAATAGCAAATGAAATACCAAAATAGGCTTCCAATGCAATTTAAGGTTGCTGTGAGAAAGCCAACTCTGTGCTTCCTCACTAGTCCCATTTTACAGTATACATGGTGATATAATTGCTTGGTCACCTCACCAAATATACATTTTTGGTTGAGTGGGTTACCTGTGTTTGATCTATTCTAAATCATTTCTAAATATTGAATATAAATTACAGAAGACATGAGAAGTCAGAAAATGTGTTAGTTATGTTGCTAGTCTAAAGCAGTGCTTACAAATGTTTGTGTGAGATCTGTCTTGTAGCATGTGGAGGCGCATGGCCACCAAGCGTTCAGGTGACCATGGTCTGCTCATTAATTAAGGGACACTAGGTTACTAATTGGGGGAAAGAGTTTCTGCTCTAGTCCAGCTCTTTAAAAGTATTCTATATATTTCTGTATCGTACAGGTTATAGTATATCAACTGTTATTGTAGAGTTGTTTACTTTGCTAAGTGTTTATTGGCTTAATTTGACAAAGTGCTTTCTATTCATACAAGTGTTTCCTGTCACCTGGTCTCTGCCAGGGTATACAGTGAGGGAAAAAAGTATTTGATCCCCTGCTGATTTTGTACGTTTGCCCACTGACAAAGAAATGATCAGTCTATAATTTTAATGGTAGGTTTACTTGAACAGTGAGAGACAGAATACAGTTTTTTACAATCACTTTGGCACTAATTTCAGAACCTTGACGTCATTTTTCAAAACTCTAGACACAAAACTCTAACACTTTTTTCAATTGCTTGGATACAATACACATAAAACTAAGATCATTTGTTCATTTAA